GGTTATTAATTTAATCCCAACAGTCATAAACAAGCAAAGAACATGGCGGTTATTAATTTAATCCCAACAGTCATAAACAAGCAAAGAACATGGCTTTTCAGTGATCTTTCAGGCCCTTATAAAGACTCAAAACAATTGATCAACTATGGCAATAGGTCAGCAGTGCCATAACACCAATTAATAAGATAATTAAGGAGGCTTACCTAAAACCATGGTCATTTACCTCATCAGATTGTGACAGCATGCTTGGTTCATGCTTTTCATTCAAATGGCCTTTTCACAAGCCGAAGAATCTGAATTTTTAAAACACAACGAGATGCAGAAAGTCTGCATAATCCCCGCGTATTCAAGTCGTCACTGAGTGTAGAATTCATAACCTGAATTATTAAACAAAAAAGTCTTATCAAAAAGCCAAGATTATACCGCATAAGGGTGATAAGAGCATCTTTGATTTTATTAAATGACCCTTTCGTGAGTTGAAGAATCTTTCATTTTATATCAAACATATACCCGTAGAAACAAATAACTCAATTAGATTAACTAATATGAAGCGGCATCAACCTTTTAGTAACGCCACGCCAAGTCAACCAACTTGTAGGGCACAGCCTGCTAATGTAACTGTATAAGATGCATCACTGAATCATAAGAATGCAAGAAACAAACAATATCTTGTGTTTACCAATTTCTAATAAAATTTTCTTTCACTTTTAGAGTTATATATGGTGCTTCCAGAACAAGAAGAGAACTGATAAGTGATAGCACAGAGTGCCTAAGTAACAGATTTCTTTGTGTTTGAAATCTGTTATCTACACCAATTCTTAAACTGCAAACCAGTTAGTCCAAAAGTTTAGGGCATGTTTGCTTTGAGAGTAATGAAGGGGACCCGGGGGAGGGGGGGGGGGGGTTGTGTGGAAAGAAGAGTCCTTTGTTTGGGAAAAGAAAAAAAAGAAGGAAATATCCTTCGAATTTCCTTGCCTCCCGTCTTCTTTCCTCTTCATTTTCCTCAAACCAAGTAGGCTTTTAGTTTCCATGACATAACTAATGAAAGGGATGAGAACGGTAACTAGCATGTGGTAAATTACTATTAAGAGAGTATTAACAATACATGATCAAAGGAGTGCTACATTTTCCATGTTGCGCCATAACATAATTAGATGGTTGTTTCTCTGTTGGAGAGATTGTCTCAATAGAAAAAGAAAGCAAGATTCATTTCAGATTAATTATCAAACAGAGAACAAGATGACAGCCTCTCTTTAGTCGTGTACGTACAGGATTACTTCCAGATCATTTGGACCATCCTTGCTAAGAGATTCTAGGGTATTATTGTCTAAATAGATCTGACTCAAGATGTTCACAAGCAAAACTGGTGCAAGACAACTCCTTGGTCATCTATCCTCCGACTTGAGTTGTCTTCCAAGTAAGACAAGTCCCACACTAGTGAAAGCAGACAAGAATGTTGATGAGTAGAAAAGCACTAGTAGAGCTCCTCTTAAAGACTGCATCATAAACATTTAAAATCTCAGTGTCCACTAATGGCCAAATAGGTTTAAGGGAGGGAACAATTTTCCATGGAATTCAAGACTGCTTCCATGCACCTTAGCTAGAAGCAGGGCATTGTCATTTGCATACTGAAATGAGCCGTCTGGAATGCTTTGGACGCCCTGTGCTACTCCCCATGAAAGAATTCTGTATTTTAAAGTTTGGAATCAGTAAATGTATGGTTGATAAAAAAAAAAAAAATGTAAATGGTATTATACCGGGCATTTTTGTTGTAAATGAAATTACAAAAGAGAACTCACAAGATACATGTGATATTTACCCAAAAACAAAACCAATTGCAGCTCCAGTATTAGCTTTCTCTGGTGTTACTTCAAACTGAAATTCTCCAAACTGCAGTTAGAAAGAAAATCATTTGTTTAGCATACCGTATCAGGTGCAACTGCTTGAGATAGTGGTAGAGCACGAGAGATGTCACCTACCTTCAGCACCCTAGTTTCTTCTTCTGTTTGTTCAACAGTTGTGGTAGATATTGAGGTTGCAGAAAAAATTCTTCCAGTTTTATTCATTGCTTTTGCAATCTACAACAATTCAACAGTATCCAATAAGACTTTTACTTTAAAACCCTATTTTATATGACATTTCCATGAGAAGAACCCTGTTAAATTAATCATAGGAGTGCCAGTTCCCATTCACAGTGTTTTCAATTCATTTATTACTAAGATATTGTTTCTAGATTACATATCAACAATCCAAGACCATGCTTTATGGCTTGGCTGTTTCTTTGTTTCTATATCCCAAATTTTACATCATTTTTCACTGGTCTCTAAGTGGAATAATTGCACAAAAATAACATCAGTTAACTGGAAGAGCATCATTATGAACTTTTGGGGCATGTGAGATACCTTCTGTAGTTCACCTTGACCATACTCTCCCATTGCTTGGAACCTACTTCCTGCAGAAACTAAACGCCTTCCAAATGCTAAACCAACCAATGATGAAAACAAGCTTCAGAATTAAATTCCTTAAAGAGTATTTGAGCATCATTTGCATATGCTTTTACTCTTACCTGATTTTGCACTGTCAGGCAAAGAGCCTCCAAGTAAAGGAAGCTTCCCTGCTAATGTACAGGAAGTTGAGGTATCAGCCAGTTCCCATGCTCGAGAGAGATCTAATAATATTTCTCCCAACTCTTGACCACACTGAACAAGATTATTCCAAGAACCAAGTGTTTTATCATTATTCTATTCTAGGCAGAAATAGAAAGGCAGGACACTAACCAAGAAGTATAAAAGGATATTGGCATAGTTCCATCAATTGTATTTGTTAAATAAATACCTATTTGTTGGCTAGATGGTACAAAAACATGGGTAGGGACTCAATAAGTGTTCTTAAACAAGTAAAAACATCTAATCATCTGATTAGTAATAAGAAGGATTCTGATATAATCTTTAGTTATACCTGTTCTTTTTTTCACAAGATATATAGATATCTATAGCAATTTATAACAATTTTGGTCCAATTTGCACTTAAAACTGTTTCGAGCTGAAATTTAGAAGTATAATCTAGATTCAGGTTTTACAAACCTATTTCTCCAGCACAATGTGCTCGGACCATATCCAAGGCTCAGGACTTTACTTACAGATTAATCTTAATATAAGCAGATGATTAACTGTTACTTACCAAATCTCCCCCACTGATACTCATCTCCCTTTGATCTTCCTTTTTCATTCATATTTAATTTTTTTCTAATGCTGTTTCAGTTCTAAATGAAAAGGCAATATGTTAATCTCTGCATTTGGTTTTGAAGAGCGACAATGAACAAAATTGTTGATGACTGAGCTTAAAAGTTGCCACAAATCCAGACTAATTTAAGAGCCAACTTCTGGACACATTCTCTGCTAAGAAATGGTTGACCAGAGTTTAGATGTTTGTATTAATTTTGGTTGCAGAATCAAACAATAACAAATTAAACCATATCAGGCTTGGAGACGGTGAATCAAAAACCCAAAAAAAAAATGCTGCACCAAGAGATTTCACATGCACTGCTGACATCACAAAAGGAGCGTTGTGGTTCACTATTATGAATCATCGAAAATGCAACTGAATAAATAAATAAATAACTAAACATTACAGGAATGGTACTATTAGTCTTAACCACACAATTTTCTCAAGCAAACAATAAGTTTAAAATGAATAAAAAAATAACAACTAACCTCATCGAGGACAGGTCCATTTGAAAGATCAAAGGCTGCATCATTTAGCTACACAAATTTATAACGTGATTAACACCTAAAAGAACCAGTAAATTGCTGGAAAAAAAAAATCAACAACAAAACAAAACTAATCACAGAATTCATCTTACATCTAACCGAAGATCGTCCGGCAACCTCTCAAAGTAATCTGATGGAAGATCAAAACTGTCCTGCAACCAGAAAAAGATAACAACAATTAAGTTAACAACCCACATGACATAAGAAAATCATCAAAAGAAAGCAAATTCATGATAAAGTTCTGAGGTATCCAATTTCATGCGTTTACACAGTGCTTACAGCAACTTCCTGGAGGAGGATTTGGGGGTCGGGTTGAAGGGATTTGGGAGAGTCTGATTCTGTGAGAGCAAATGAGAGAGTGAGGGGTTTGGAAAGGCGGAGTCTTTTGGAGTTGAAGGGTCTTAGGGAGGTTACAGAAGGGATACAATAAGGATTTTGGAGAAAGAGAAAGGAACGGGAGGGATGGGGAATGCTGAGAGGTTGGAGGAGGAGAAGAGAAGTAGAAGCAGGAAGCATTTTTCTAGTTTTGAGCTCTGGATAGAATTTTTGCCGGAAGGCAATTGGGATTTTGGTGGTTTTGGAAGTTAAGGTTGTTCTTCATTTTTTTTTTTTTACTATTTTTCTGATTGAGAATATGGGTTGGGCCTACTTATGGGCCCCATAGTGGAGATCTTTGGATAAGGTGCAATTTCAGCCTACAATACAACGCTTCCACCGTCAGGGGGTCATCATTTCATACCGATATATAATAATCTTGGGGTTTCTTTGGTTTGGGAAGTAAAGGGGAAGGAAGACTACTTGGAATAATAAAAAAACATCCTAGAAGGTATTTATTTTATTGTTTCAAAAATAATTATCAATTGCAAATTTTAATCAAATAGATTAAATATTTTAGATTATAGAATTGATTGTTTTAATGGTTTTAAACTAATGGTTAGTGATTTTGTTTGATCCAATGAACAAGAGTGTTTAAATTACTAATGATAACAATTAGCAACTCACATATTAGATAAGATTACTAACCATTAATTTCAAATCGCTATACCAAACTTTTAATATCACAATGATTGTCATCTGTTAGATACTACCTATTAGCTATGAGCTACATCTAAACAACAAATCTAGAGGTGCCAAGAACTCAGGGAGCTCCAAATCTAAGTGGATTTCCAAATTAAATGACAAGCTTGTTTTTCTGTTATCTTTTTTTTTTTAGTCAAAGATGATGATAGTTTGAGATTTTAGAACTACTTTAAGGCATCTAGATGATCATTAGAATTTGTTTTAATTAAATAAAAACTCCTTTAGGAGGTGTTTATTAAGGTGTTTTTTTTGTGGGAATTTATAGGCAACTTTGCAAATCTTAAGTGGACAACTAAATACAAATTTCTTATCAATTTCCTTTTTAAGTTTTGTACTCCTTCACTTGATTATTCGTTACGCTCTCCCATAAAAAAGTGGCCTTGGATATTGTCACATGGTAAAATGTTAGGACCGCACAAAAAAAAAGTTTTTTTAATTTAAAAGACTTGTATTTATTTATTCTCCTAAACCTCATGTGATTACTCTCATTTTTACAATAAATAAAATAGTGCCACATATCATCTATGTTGGTAGATATTTTGTTTGTTGAAAAATTATTTTGTTGATGTAGATTTATAAAGATAATTGAGTGAAAATCAAGGATTGCCACAGACTTAGAGAGAAGGTGTCATGTTGTGATCTCATCAATTTGGGTTAAGCTTTGTTGCTAATTCTCATGAATAAAGTTTAGATGGTTGTTGCCACATCATCAACAAAATAGTTCAGTTGTTGCATAGTTTTAGAAACATGATTAGTAGTGATAATGAGTTAGTAAGTTTGTCATAGATTTTATACTACCACAAATCTCTAACCTGTCACCAAAGGGTGTTTAGTGCTATAAATACACAAAAATGTGTTGTTGCATATTTTTAGGAATATGATCAGTAATGATAATGGGTTAGTCAAGTTGTTACAAATTTTATCTTGCCACAGATCTCTAACATGTTGCCAAAGGGTGTTTAGTGCTATAAATATACAAAGTTAAAATCAAGCAAGACAAACCTGCCTCTCAGACAACAAGCCAAGTACGATTTCTTTTCAATGCTAAAGCTAATCTTAGTTTCAAGCTCCATAGTTTAATTTTAACTCTATGCTTTAGCCTACAATAGCTTTTAGCCTTAGTTTAATGTATTTTCCTTTATAAATCCTAGAAATTAGATATAGTTCTCTAAGGAAGCAATTCATTTCCCCTTTTATTGGTATCATAGTAGTAAGATTTGCTACTTTTAATGATAATTCTTATAATTAGATTACTTCCTTTCTTATCTTATTTTCTTAAATACTTTTTAATTAATCAAGCAATGTCAATATTCAATTTCACATTCTATTTTGTTTCTATTAATTTATATTTCATGTTACCAACTTCATTTGCTTTAATTTAATATGCTTTTCTTTGTTTAGAATTCCTTTTGAAATCTTTATTTCAACTCAATCTACATTTTTTAAATTTATTTAGACTTTTAGTAGCTAGGTATTCATTTACTTTTCTTGTAGTTTTAGTTTTCCCTAAGTACATCTATTTGGTGCAATCCATAGAGACATATCCCAAGCAATTTGTCTTCTACCCCATTTGTATAGGAAGTTTATCCCTCATATTTTTCAATCGTCTAATAATTAAAGTGCAATCTCTCATTGCTAAGTTTCACGTTTGAAAAAAATAGAAGGTTATTGGAAGAACTCTTTTTTGTTTTGAGCAAACTAAGTGTCATGCCATTTCACTTGTCATGTGTCAAGGAGATTTCTTGAGATAATAATCTTAGTATGTCCAATAGGGTCCACTGCATTTTATCTCTTATGGATAGACATAGTGACTATAATCGTAGATCTTTATTGCAAAGGATGACATACTAAAAACAACATTTTGTTGCCCTAAAAACTTACTTATGTTTGAATGGGTTGTGATTTCATTTGGGTTGAAAATTTTAGGAGCTATATACTAGCGGGTCATGAATGCAATTTTCCTTGACATGATTGGCCATTTCATGGAGATTGTACCAATGATGTTGTTGTCTAATTTGTGGAACAAGAAGAACATTTAGGACACTTGAAGCTTTAGAAAGGATGCAGTAACATGGTTTGAAAATGAATCGCATCCTTTCAAGTGTGCTTTTAGTGTCATTGTAGGAAACTTTTTAGGTTTTGTGGTGCATGAACTTGGTCTTGAAGTGGATAAAAACAAAGCAAGGGTCACAATTGAGACGTCGCCACCACAAAATAAAAAAGAATTGCAGAGGTTCCTTGGTTAAGTTAATTTTCTAAGGAGATTTATCTCTAATTTAGTAGGCAAGATTCATATTTTTCACTTTTTTTGAAGTTACAACTTGATGCAAATTTTAAACAGTTAATTTTCTAAGGAGATTTATCTCTAATTTAGTAGGCAAGATTCATATTTTTCACTTTTTTTGAAGTTACAACTTGATGCAAATTTTAAACAAAAAGACAACACTAAGCCATGTTTGATGCTATTAAGGAATATTTGTCCAAGCTGCATGTGTTGATTCTTTCAATTAAGAATAACAATTATTACGATACATATTCACCATAGATGAGTCAATTGATTGTTTGTTAGTGCAAGAAAATAATAATAAACAAGAATAAAGTATTTATTATTTAAGTAGAGCTTTAAATCCAACCAAGGTGAAATATTTTTTAATTGAGAAATCGTGTTTGCTTTTATTCATTGTGTTTGCCTTTGTTCTTTGTAGCAATAAAATTGAGGCACTATTTGTTATACTTGTAGATGTTAGTTGTTTTAAAAATTGATATCATAAAATGTATGTTATTGGAATCCATCTTAAGAGGCCGCATTAGTAATTGGATTCTTACTTTTACTAAATTTAATCTAAGGTATTTTCCTTGGAAAGTCATAAAAGGTTAAGCCTTAACAAACTTTTTAGTAGATCATCCTTGTGTAGATGTTGGTGCTAATGAAGACAAGGGAATTAATCTTTTTTTGTATTAACTTGGTTCCTTAAAAGTTTGTTTGTTATGGTTCTAGTATTGATCAAGCCTCCTTAAGCCAAAAAGTGTTATTGTTTCCCCAAAAAGCATAAAAATCTAGGCAAAAACCTAAGAATAGCCCCTTACCTTAATAAGTTGGATAGTTTTGGCCCCTCACCTTATAACATAATGGTTTTAGCCCCTAACCTATAAGAAT